CACACTGGTTTTATGCCAGTGTTGTGCCACTGACGTCAGTGGAGTTCCTCCTGATTTGTTCCAGTTTCAGTGAGATCAGAATCCGGGCCCATTTCTTCTTAAGGAATTACTGGCTGGAATGCAGTACGTGCTTTCAACTTCATATTGTGCAGCAACCCAGCAACACTGCTGAGAAGGGCTGACTCCATTAAAAACCTTTTGCTAATTTATGCCAGCCGAACCACACCTACAGCATGTGACAAGAGGAACAGCACTCTGAACCTAGCCCTTCCCTGCCTGGTTAGTGGCAGCAACCCACACAAAAACCAGCACTTAATTCAAAAATGAAATCAGCTTTGCTATTCACCTATTAGGTGAATCTTTGAATCCCTACCATTCAGGGGAGACGTATTCCCCAACACTGGAGGAGGTCCATCCCTTAAGAGCCAGTGGTACACATTATCAGCCAGCGCACTACATCATGACATCTCAACAGAGCTAGTCAGTGGGAGGACAGCAGAAACGAGATGGAATCTAGGGGAACATATTGGTAGAGTGCCTTCATCCATCTCTTTATAGCAGGTACCTCAACACCAGTGTACCACACTGGTTTCTATTTTATGATCTCCAAAGCTTCCTGTGCCATTTTATGGGGAGCCAAAGGAACGTTCTTCAGCTGTGCTGACCCCGAGCAACAACAGAACCACCCACTGACCAGGTCTAGCCAGCTGGCAGACTCACTTGACACTTCCCCTGATGGCAAAGAGTGGCAGTGTGGATTTCCTGTGTGCCATATAGCTCCCAAGTGCTCCAACAGGCCATGAAATCTGTGCTGTCAAGCTTTGCACAATAGCTGTATGATAGCAGAGGAAAGCTCAGATATGGACTCACAGAAATGGTTTTCAACAGCTGGCAGAGGGGAAAAATAGCTCTGCCGGTGGATACCTATGAAAAGATTTATATTTAGTACTTTCAAGGAGAAAATTGACTCCATTACAGTGCAGTTGCTTGGTGCCTTCAGCTGTGAATTGCGCGGACACTGTCTAATTCACAGAGAAATTGTTTTGATGGCTTTCAGGACGTTTCTTTATCAGTGTGAGTGAAAGTGTTTGCAGCGAAGGCATTTGACCACCTGCTCTCTGGACCCTTGCCTTCCACAGGCATGCCTGCCTACATGGGCACACTGCCATTGCTGCAACAATTATTCATTCAGTCATAAATCTTCCCTTGGTTTCTCTGATGTTGTTCCAACTACTTTTGAGACCACAGACCCTCCATCTCGGTTTCCAGCCCGCTGTTCTTGTCCTAGATACCTGAAAGGGCAATTGTACAGCTGTAAAGCACTTCCAGGAAAACAATATATACCATCATTTTCAAGTGGGCCACGGTACACTGAGTTGACCTTGGCTGGAATATGTAGTTGTTTTTCTTGGCTGATAAGGGTGTTTGGTTGTGGGTTTGTGAGTGACCTTTGATGTGGTGGATCAAGGGGTCTCACTGGAAGAAAGCAAAGATAATGGATCCTATATGTGAGGTAGGATTTTTCCTGGTGAGACAAGGTGTCCTTTGTATCACTGGTGGACTCTGAATTCTTTCCCACTATCTTCCACCCTGGATGGCCCTGTAGTCTAGTCCCAGCATGCTCCTAGTTGAGAATGACTAACTGAGATGCTCTTTGAAGCCTGTCTGTGTTGCTCCTTCAGTTTCCAGGGATGCTGCTGTTGAGCAGTGAATAGCATATCCTCCCAACTAAGGCATGATAGTGCTACCATCTAGTGCCTGTAATTTGAAGGAGGAGTGGAGCGTAACTGATACATGAGCATCTGCTACACTTAATATACCACGGAATTTCTAATTATAAGAACAACTAGACAACAGAATAAGCTGCAAAGTCACATAAAGGACATCTAGTGTGTCACAATGACAAAAGAGGAAGGAGGTGATCCCTTCCCAAACTTGATGTATTCACCTGAACCTGCCCAAATACCAGTTTAGTTTGTTAGTTCCTGAGCTGTTCAGTCTGTTAAGACCCACCATGTGTTCATCAAGGCTCTACACAGATGAGAGACAGTCTAGATCTGGATATAGATTTCAAACATCCCAGAATGAGAGGTTGATTTGATGGTGAGGTTGGTTTGGTCTGTTACAGACACAGGGGCCATTCATGAAATGTCAATGTGGACTTGAGACTGGCTTTTGCAACACTCCAAATATGAGAGGTGCTGGTGTGGAGATATTTGGTACAAGCCCATCTCTAGTTATAATGGATCAAAATTGCTGTTGGTGTAAGGGGTGCACTGAGGTAAAGTCAACAGAGCTATACCCATTTATAACAGCAGAAAATGTGACCCAATGTTCAGTCAAATGCCGATTACATATCGGCAAAAGACACTGGATCACGCAGATTGCTGCATTTGAAATAGCCTCTACATTGGCTACCTCCACAATAGGTGTAATTTATTTTTGTTATAGTCACACCTTTCACATCCTGTGATTTTAATCTATCGCAGTGTGTATGTCCACCAGGAATATCCACAGGAAATGGATGCAATTGTTTTCTCCTGTGCAGTTATTGTCTTTCAGAAGGCTTCTGGGGTACAATTATTGATGGAGAATGAGGCTTTGGTTTTCATTTCAGGGCAGCAGTCCTAGCAAGCAGATATAGCAAATGAGGCTGACATTTAAAGCAACTACTAAGATTACATTACTGAGATGATATTGAATATGAGTGGCCAAATCTTTCAAACCAAATCAAGGTTCTTTTACTTAATAATACTCGCAGCACATTTTAATGAAGGCTCCTCTAGGCCGAGGGCCTATTTGTCTGCAGTCATTTTGTTCTGTGACATCGCTGTCTGCATCAGACCAGGCATGATTTGATTTTCATCTGTTTCTATTGAATTTAGTGCGTTCACTTCTTTGATTTGTCAATTTCCAATATGAATTAATCAAGAGATTCTTAGGGGGAAATATTTCTGTTGCGGGGCGAAGGGGACTTCATTTAAATGTTGCGTCACAGTTACTTTGCATGAACATGCTCCCCCGCCCCTGTTCTGCAGGCATAGAACCTGGTACCTTCAGCATCAAGAACACAGCACTCTACCCCTTGAGCTAAAGGGTAGTCGGTAGGGTGACCATATTTCTCAAAGTGAAAACAGGACACTGTGGGGGGCTGGCCTGAGCCATTGGCCGAGCCTCCCCCGCCATGTGGAGCTGCCCAAGCTGCCCACCCACTGTGCAGGGCTGACCCGAGCTCTGCCATGCGGGCCTGGCCCAAGCCACCTGGTATTGCTGCTCACCCAAGCCCCGCCGCATGGAGCTGGGATCACCGCTCCCACCCCCCCCAAACATTCCTCAGCACCCCATTAAGGGGGCACGCCCCACTTTTTTGGAAGAAAATGGAGCAAATGGGACAAATGGCCAGTTCTGCGAAAAAAACTCAGGATATCTGGAACAGGGCTTAAAAAGGGGGCTGTCCTGGCCAGAATGGGACGTATGATCACCCGAGTAGTAGATTATGCATGTCCTCTCCTCCACACAGCAGCTGCTACTGCAAAATAAGGCCCCTTTCACCCAGATTCTCCTGTTTTAATTAGAATGGTCTTTACCAGGGTCACTCCTCATGGGTGCGTTCTCACTGAGTGAGAGGCAAAGGAGCAGAAGGGTTTGTATTTTTTAAGCCGTACGTCATTCACACGAACGCCATGATCAATGCAGCGACGCAGTGTTAGCCTAGCACCCTGCAATCTACAGGATGTTCAGAAATTCAGGTCTGGAGCCACCTGCAGCACGAGCAGCCCTCCGGGCGGGTCTGGAGTCCCATGAGACACAGACGGGCAGGGCCAGATGGCTTTGTAGCATACACAGCCCAGCATTCTCAAGGAAGCAGAGTAGGACAGCAAAACACCTGCAGCCACAAGAGCATGGGGGAGGAGGCACAAAAGGCTCTGTCATTCCAGTGAGTGCAGAGGATTTAGGGATGGCTGCACTCCTTTGGATAATACAAGAGCCATCCTGAAAGCTTTACCCACTTAGCGAGCCAAATTCCAGCCTTTTCTGGAAGATGGCAAAAGGTCAGTTCATGAATTAGATCACAATAGACTCAGAGTGAAGTGCCCATGTACTGACTCACCTCCAGCACTTTGAGTTTAGCCATAGGCACAGCTCCAGAATATTCTAGAATACAGCGTATGGGCCCTTAAGCCCTGCACTCTCTTTATCCTAAATGGTGACATTTTGCTCCCATATTGTAGCATAGTGAGATATTCTTTCCTCAGGGCTTAGCCAAATCAGCTCAGCCACCCTTATTTCTAGCATGGCGAGTGCCTTTTTTTGTGTGTATCGAGGTTGCGTAGATGTTCCATCTGTCTTGTATCCAAGTGACAAGTGAGTGATCGCTGCTTAAGTGACATTCAAGGAAGGGGGGAAAAGGAATAAAGCACAATATGCTGAAACTAGAAGAGCACTGAGGAGTGAAGCGTCCATCCTACAGTGACCGGAGCTGTATAAATGCCATAGATAAACAGATGGTTTGGATAAAATCAGAGGCCTCCCTGAACCTTCACCCTAGACTCAAAGAAAGTGTCCTTGAAGTGTAGGAAATTTGAGATAACATTTGCCCCTCGCCGTTTTTTGATTGACATGCAGACCTGGTGAGTCCTGATTCTGGCCACAGCCAGAAGCAAAAGCCCCCAAATGCCGTGAGGCATGCTCATATCCTCTCAAGCTGTATTTACTATATAACCCTGAGCAGGAAGTAGGAGAAAACGTACAAGGAAGCCTTTTGTCATAAAATTTAGAAGCTAATTTTGCAGCTCCAATGAACTGTTTGGTACTTAGTTCAGCCAAACTGAACCTCACATGTTCATTCACCACTGCATGCACAGGAGACAGGGGCATTTGGTCCAAAACAAACCTCCAGGGACGAATGCCTTCAAACACTCAGGATCTAAACGTTGTGGCTAGCCATTCTCTGTGTATACCAGGGCTGAACCAACCCCCCAGATCTGAAGACAACTGACCTTGGGGCAAGCTTGGTTCTGGATCCAACCGTTCATCAGAACTCATTTCCCGCAGGCATCTCCTTGGACCAACGCTGACGAAAGGCAGGGGGCCTGTGAGCGCGAAAGAACTCCTGCGTCAGTGTGTAGGCTGCAAAATTAAAAAGGGGGATTATTGAAATACAGCCTAGAAATAGCAAATAAGATTGCATAGCCTGTAATCTCTTTTCCCTGCAGGAACTTTATTAAAGTACAGTACTAGGAGAAAACCTGCCCATTGCCACAGGGCTCTGGTGAGAATGTATTCCCCTCCCTTTACCCCTTTGCAGGGGAGAGGAACAGGCTGGTAATTCTTGTTGCTCAGGAGAGACACCCCCATAAGGGGTGAGGCAGCCTCTTGGAATTCACATGCTATTGTAGATGGGAACGGGGCCAGCTGCGTGTCCATTGTGCAGCCACTTCTCCCTCTTTCCTCACGCGTGTCACCTCCCTTTCGACGATCGGCAGTTGCGTCGGTCGGAGACACAAAGCTGCAGGGTCCGCAGGCGAACGATAAAGGTGGCTCTTCTGTAGCCCAGGGTTTTAAAAATAAAAAGCAATTTCAGCAGCTGTTGCAGGAAAGGACTCTTTCGTGCTGGGAAAGAGTGGAGGGAGGAGGGGACAACTGAGTTATCTACAGAGAGAACGGAGAGGGAAGCGAAAAATTTGCAGTGAGAATGCTGCCAAGAACAGCCCTTCCTCAGAATAAATCACATTGCCCAAGAAACATGCACCCTACAGAACAGCTTCTGTGCCTGTTTGAAAGAAAATGCTTGACTCCCATTGCTCTGGAACCAACCCTGCGCCCATGGAAGTCAGTGAATAAGGCTCAGGTCTGGCAGGCCTGATCCCATGAGATGCTGAGCAGCCTCGTGGCCTGTGGATGTCCAGGGAAACGGAGGGGCACATAAAGCCTTGCAGGATCGGGCCCGACAGGTCAGTTGTAGTGCACAGAGGGAGCTGTGCAAAGCAGGGTCGCGGCAGCATGGAGCACAGTCCAAGCCTGGCAGGTGCTGAGAGCCCTCCGCAGCCCGGAAATCACCGAAAATCCAGGCTACCTTGCTCGGGTGCTGTGCTGATGCAGCCCTAGGAACAGCAACGAGGGCCTGATCCGATGCCTACGGAAGTGAATGGAAAGAGTCTCACTGACTTCAGCAGGTGCTGGGTGAGACCGTATAGTACAGATCGCGGGCAAACAATGGCAGAGCGACAGAGCTCGATAGGCACCTAGGAAGGCCTTCTGAACACCCATCAGCAATACTCCACCTCTTCTCCATCCCTTTTCTTCTGCCTGGAAGGGGAGCGAGCAAATAAGAGAGCTGAAGTAGGAGAGCAGGACGCTCCCCACAAAGAGAGAGGAGAAGAGCCCTCAGGAGGAGTGAGACATGTCTGCATGTTTAGTACAGCTTGCTGAAATCTTCATACCCCACGAAGCAGCCAGGGATGGCATTGGACTTCCACAGTGAAGAGGAAGGACGGGCTTGGGCCAATATTTAGGAGATCTTAGCTACTTATATGGCCCTGTCACATTAGGATCTGAGCAATTCACAATCTTCATGCATTTATCCTCAAAACACCCCTGTGAGGTAGGACAGTGCTATTATCTCCATTGTACAGGTAGGGAACCGAGGCACAGAGAGGCCAAGTGACTTACCCAAGGTCACACGGAACGTCTGTGTCAGAGCATGGCATTGAATCCAGGGTTCCCAACTCCTAGGCTACAGCCCTAAGCACTGGACCATCCTCTATCTGGGGTCAATCCCCAGCTCTACCCACAGCCTCCCTGTGTGACTTTGGGCTGGTCACAGTCTCGCTATTCCGATTTCTATCTGGGGCAGAGACAGTCTTACGCTGCATTTATACAGCACCTAGCACAATGTGGCCCTTATCTCTGCTGGGCACTAATTAACAATAGTAATCACAGATGGGGGAGTCTCCACTGATCATTTATGGGGGCTCCCTTCCACCCTGAAACTCACGAGGCAGGACTGATTTTCAAACAGATGTATTTTTTTTCAAAACTTCAAAAAGGGTTTGCGGTTCCTGCTTGGCCAGAATTTGGAGTGGAGGTCTGGAGTCTTTTCTTTTGTATCCCCCAATTAGCAATGAACATTTGGGGTGTCTAATGCCAGTTTGGCCGTGACCAGTAGCTAACCAAATGGCAGTACAAGATGCCTCGCCTTCATGTGTACATTTTTCAAGGGCCTCATTGCACAGCTGCAATGAATGGCTTAGTGCTGCCCTGTATCTCGCAGAACCAAATCTGAACCATCTTTAATAAATACACTCATTAGCTTGTCCCCTGTGATGGGCAGGATGTTGAAATTAGTTAAGTGGCACTTGAGCTCAGATGGCTGAAGAAATTACTGACAGAAGAACAAGGATGTACAGTGTCTTACAGAGATTTAGAAGATTAGCAAAGACTCGCAAACGACTCTCCAGGGTCCAGATTCTGCTTTCTGTCACAGCTCGGAGGTCAGTGGGTTTGGCCAAGTATAATCAAAGGCAGAATTTAGCCCAGTATATGTAGCTCTGCATACTTAATACTCAGAAGCTTGAAAGGTAACATTTCAGATACTAGAAACTGCCCAGGTACAATATAAAACTGCAAAGGGAGGGGTGTTCTTTGGTCTATGTTTGTATAACACCTAGCACAATCAGATCCCGATCCATGACTGGGGCTCCTAGGAGCTATTGTCTTTCCATAGGCTTTAATACACTTTAAAGGGGGCCCTTATTAAGCGAGAGGTCATCTGAGCCTTGGCCAGATAAAACACAGTGTTCCTCAGGGGTCCATACTGCTCCTGTTTTGGTCAGCATTTAGAGCAGATGCTTCCCCTAGATTCGGTGGCTTTACCTTCTGCCAGTCTGCTGGGCAAAACTTCGTTCTAGGCTCATCCACTTCCGTATACACACTCTACATCTCAGCTAGTGCCACACCTGCCATCTGGCAGTGCCCTGGATCCCTGGGTACTTTGTCTTCTCGCCCATGTATTGTTTTTCGCAGGTTTTCAGCACCCTACCTTGAGATGATCCCTGTTCACCTGTTATTGAGTTGCATCTGGTCACAGCACTCTCCTCACTCTTCCTCCTCATAGTTTATCAGGGGATAACAAATTCCTGTTTGGTTTTCTTGGCCAGGGAATAGGATCATATCTCTGAGCCTGGCAGAAGCTGCATAACTGGCTTACAGGCTTTAAGCTTCAAGGCAAACAGGCCGTACTAGCCTTCATAATATGGTATCTTCTCAAATGCAACATGATCAGACTTCTCGCATGTGGCTCCTTTCAAGTGGGCTGAGCAGCTGTCAAAATGGCTGTAGATTATAGTATGCAGTGTAGTTCTAGCTGTGTTGGTCCCAGGATGTTAGAGACAAGATGTGTGAGGTAACATCGTTTATTGGACCAACTTCTGTTGGTGAGCTTGTCTCTCTCAGTAACAGAAGTTGGGCCAATAAAAGATATTACCTCACCCACCTTGTCTCTGTAGGTCATAGGGCATTCCCAACATGGCGGGATGAGGAGGTACGTAGACAGACACCCAAAAGCATTACCTAGATCACGTCAAACCAAGATATAGGATGCTGTAAAATGAAAAGTTTCCTGTCAACAAAGTTAGGAGAAAGGAGCACAGATGGCGCTAATCAATGTCCATGTTTGTTATGAATCAAAGGCTGTCGTGGTCCCTAAATAAGCTTAATCATACCCTGTGGTACCACAGCCTAAAGAGGAAGTCGTGGCCCATTTCTATTTAGGTTTCTTAGCAGCTTGTGTTCTGCAGACGAAATGCAGACTACAGGCTTTGCTCTGGGGATCTGCACTGAGATGTGGAGCAACAGGCTCTGTGGCACTGATACAGTCACCAGACGCGTGTCTCCAGCAGACCTGTCACTACAATGCTGCAGGCACCTTGCACCTTTCTGTGGGGCTGGCCACTAGTCAGAGACTGGATACGGAACTAGATGAAACCACCAGTCTGATCTGGAATGGGACTTATGTTCCTAAGAATTAGGCAAATCTCACACTCTTCTTGCAGACCTGCGTGCCATCAGTTGATATAGGTGTGAGATATTAAAAACTTACCATGGCCTTAGTAGATGGGCAACCTGATTGTTTTCAGAAAACAAGATGATACTAAATGGTTTTCTCTTGCCATCTAGGATGCCCTGCCCCCAAGAATTGTACAATATAACAGAATTCTCTCCTTGGTTCACTTAGTCACAGTCAGAAAGTACACAGGTAAATACTCCCTCTGCATATAATTCATCCCTGGAGAACCTGCGAAGAGCTGTGATTCTGTCTTCCCCCAAAGGGAGAAGTTGATTAGAAGTGAAATGGAAACACAGTTATGACACCTTTCATCAAAGGCACTGATATGAGTATTTATTTGTATAATGGTAGTGTCTACAAGCCCTATTGTGCTGGGTGATGTACAAATAGCAAGGACCCTCCTGCCTTAAAGAGCTTGCAAGCTAAGTAGACTAGACAGTTGGGGAACTGCTGCACGAAGAGACTAATCAGCTTGCCCAGGGTCACACAAGATGTATGTGCAACAGCCAGAAATCTAACCCAGAGCTCCGGAGTCCCAGTCCAGTGACTTAACCTCTTTAACGTCTATGAACATCGAGCAAACTTCACAACATTCATGTAAGAGACTTGTTAGCCTCAATTTATAGATGGGCCAAATAAGGCCCAGAGAAGTTTAGAGCCTCATTTTTCTGAGATGCTGAGCACCTAAGTGACCTCTCCATGGCCCCAGGTACCAGTACCAGAGATGGAACTAGGACACAGAGTTGTCTTGACATCTAGTCCCCTGCTCTCTGCACTAGGCAATGTCCTTCTGGAAGCGAAACCCCTGTTTAAATTCTCCACTGTGCTGATTCAACGCGCGAAACTAACATTTTCCCCATTTCCGGGTATTTGACTTTCGATCTGCGTGTGTTATGCGATCTTGATAAATATAGATTCGCTTAATTAAATATCCTGCCTAATAAGCACCTTCCATGCTGAGTGTGCCATGCAGGGGAATACAAATAGGAAGTACCTATGCCAAGGGTATGAAGTGAAGCCTCGCTGGCTTTTTGAATACCTTACACTTTCTATGACTTCCTGTCATATTTACCTAATTAATGACTCAGTAAATTCGGTACTCCAGGTTCAGCGTTATCTTTGTGCTCTGTGCAGGAGCAGCAGAGCTCATGTTGGAACGAGACCATGAATACTATAAGCCGATTGATTAAGCTGGGTGACTGACATCAAGATGGAAAATGGAAACACTACAGCTCAAGTGCCATACAGAGACACTGTTTGTTTGTAGGGTTCCCCACACTCTTCCCTAAACTCCTCGGTGAAATGCTTTCTCCCGAGTTTGGGAATACAATTCCTCTACCTCCCTTTGTCTATTTCTACTAGGCCAAGATTGATTTCACTCCCTGGTTTTAAATGCAGCTGAAATTAAAAGTGATCTGCAATAACTTCCAGACACACAGGCAAGCTGGGCAGCTTGGACAAGCATAAGATACACAGCTAGCATCAGGAGGGCACCGTAGCTGCCTCTAGAGCACTTTTCATCTAGGGATCTCAGAATGCTTGACTGACATTA